ATGAACAACTTCTAAAGCTAGTTTCAGTACACGGAGGTTACATTTCATATTAATGTTGTCTTTATAACTTTGTTGTCATTATAATGACACTGCTTTCAATTTTTTGTTTGAAACATCTTTGTAAACTTACAGCACATTCTGTAATTATGATTTTTAATTACAAAACAATGTTTCTTGCAGTTTCAATGACCTGGAAAATAATGTGAAACTTTCAAAATCTGATAAAATAATAAAACTGTTGCCACATCATAACAGTGAACATATACTCTACTGTAATTGATACATGTTCTATGAAATAGTGTTAATAGTGCAAATAGTTCCATTAAAAACCTCTAATAATGTGATATGCAGTGTACACAAGTTAAAACCTTTAATGCCATATATGTTCTGGCATGTTTATGTTCAGGCTATATGGTAGAGACATTTTTATTAATCTATATTTGGTCTTAGGCTGTTTCTAGGGAAACTGAATGCATAAAATATCCATATCAATATTGTATTTGGCTGGCCAGATCTGAATAGACAAAGCTTTTGCAGATGTATAGAGTAGTTGATAATATGTCACTTTCCCAGGGTATTGCTGGTCAGTTCATCCCTTTATATTTGTCCCTTCCCCCATATGTCCCTGCCTTGTCTATTCTGTAATATATAATGAGTAAAGTTCTTTAACTAAACATCAATTGTAAAAATAACAAAATAAAAATACTAGAAAAACCTGTGAAAATTTCAGAGTTTTCCAGTTTTAATATTCTGATGAATCTTAATTCTTAAGTTAAAGATTGAGTTAACTCGTGGTGAGTTCTACAACAATTAAATTGCATCGTTAAATACCTGGGATTAACAACTTCAACAAAATATTATAATAACAATTATAAATATGAATACAGGTTATTATTTTAAGAAGTGGGTAGAAATGAAAAGATTGGAAATTGACAACTTTTTTCCATTTCACTGGAACAACCATTAAGCAATTCTATATTCACTTCCTTCTTTCTTTCTTTCATTCATTTTCACACTGAAACCAAGTAGTGTCTTTCCCCTCTTTTATTTTTCTTTTGGAATAGGCCATTATTTATGAGGTATTGACAGGACATAACAGGCTTAAAAACTAACAAATGGAGTGGAAAAATAATTCTAATAGATAGCCCAAAATGTGAGGTAGAAATTGATGATGACAAAAAGCAAAAAAGGTCAAATACCTGGGAAGTGTTTTAATAGATAGAAAATATAGCACTAAAATCAGAATGGACATTGGAATGGCAAAAGATGCTTTCCAAAAACTAAACAAATTATTAAGAAGCAGGGAAATTAAATTAGAAACAAAGAAAAGATATGAACTGCTATGTAATATCAATCTTCCTATTGACAGATAATTTCCTTACAGATGACTTGTCACAACAAAAATGTGGTTCCATGGAAGGATGACTTCAAATACCAATGACAGAACATGAAAGCAAGGAAGAAGTTTCAAGGAAAATGGAAACAAAAAGGACACATACTTAGAATCATAAAGAGATAGATGAAATATCTAGAATATATAATGAAAAAAGAAGGCTTAGAAAATCTGACACTCACAAGTCATACAGAAGGCAAGAGGAACATATGGAAATAACCTACTTAACACACTTGTGCAAATAGATGACAGAAGATAAACAGAGAGGTATATAAAAAAACAAATGTTGCTAAAAGTTACAAAGGATAGGAAGTTGTGGATTACCATGGCTTCTTGAGAAAAATAGTAAAAGGCCTCCTCTTGCCTTCTCCATGGTTTAGAATTCAATGTAGTTCTTTTCCTAGTCTACTGTAATATTTAAACCATGGCTGGAATTCAAACTCAGACTTTCTAATTTCTCATTCTGAGTCACTACCCATTACACCACCCAAACATCCTCAGCAGAAGAGGTGGATTCATGCCTTTCCCAAGGTATTTGTATGAAAATGAATATAACAAACACAACTGGAATTTGAACTCAGTTCACCAATTTCTTGTTCCAAGCTGCTAAACATTGCACCATCCACACATTCATCAGCAAAACAAGTATACTTATAACTTGATCTTTTCTTTAAAAATAAAAAATAAAAATACAAACCCATATCTCAGTATCTTGTACACTTAGGTACTTAATACAAGGGAAGATTTTAGCAATTGGAGAGGGCAGAATTTTATCAGTCTGCAATAAATGTGTATTAATAAAAAAATCATTTACAGGATCCAAAACCACCAAATCAATAAATGAGCTGGTATTAATAATTTTGTGGGAAGGGATTTAGGTACCTAATTGTACACACCATCACAACAGATGTATTTGCAATTGTCATCCTACAAGATGAAGTGTTTAATTAAGTCTATTTATGTATAAAGCTCTCATTCAATTCAATTCCTGTTGATGGAAAAATCAAACATTTGAATGTGAACTTATATCTCTTCAAACTTCTTGTCCTCCTTCCCCCATTGATTCAAATGACCTTTTTCCATCTTTGTGTGTAGGGGGGGGAGATAAATTTTTTATCAACAAGTTAGGCAAGGTCGTAGTAACATCTGGTAAGTGTCTATTGTAGCAAACAAAGTCAAAGAAGATAAATTTAATGCTGATGGCAGAAGTATCAAATAGAACTGAGAGTTGGAATTTATTGATTGTGTATTGAGAGATCAAAGATTAAACATGAATGGGATGCTAATGATGCTGATACTGATGAAGTAACATTATTTAGACCAACAGTGGAGAAATGTCAGACCAAAAAGAAACAAAAAACAAATAAATAGCAAACAGTATAAATTTATGCAGTCACCATTAGACATTTTTTTGTTTTAGTAAGGACCATTATTTGTACTGACATGAATTTGTCATGTTTTTTGTCTGTATTGATTTCTTCATGTATATATTTTTACAGCTGGATGCCTTCCTTGAAATAGATCTTTTAACGATTAAAAATTAGTCTTGTGTTTATCTAGATTCAGATATGACAAAAGTATAATAAAAAAGTATGCAATTCATGACTGGAAATACCAGAAGTCTGGATCAAATTTAGTATCAATGAGGAATCTTTGATCTAAGAGGAGTTGATTTGTGGTGACCCCAAATATGTAATGGGCTCACCCTAAGTTATACCAAAGTGTCATACCAGAGCATCAGAGAAACCAGCATCATCAGGTTGACCTGGGAAATGAATTTCTAGTCACCAAGTGTAGATTCACACCTCACAGGACATCAGTGGTTGCTCCCAATATGAAAACATGTGGCTGCTCCCAATATGAAAACATGTGGCTGCTCCCAATATGAAACTTAGGATGTGCACATATAGTATAACCAGACAACAAGAAGATATATAAGGACTCAAAATGAGAGAGAAAAGATAGAGAGTGTTTTGTATCTGTATGAGAATAAGATTCATGTTTGGAGAAAGCAACAAAGTCATACACCCTTATACTGATATTAATTGATGAAGTGCAGAAGTGAATAAACAATAATTTTACATATGAGATATTTAGTTTCATATTCATATTAATCTTTACAATAAGAAAGGTCAGTTTTTTTTTTGTTGGTATTGCATAAAAAAATTTACTATTATGAATAAAATACTTGTTTATATAAGTCATGATATCACAAGTAGAATTCATTAAATATGTCCAAACGTTTTACATGTGATTCCATAAAGACTGAATCAACAGCTTCTGGAAGAGAAAAAGTGAAACAATAATTGTTGTATTTTAGTACTGATATCATTTGAATTATATTTAAGTAAAGTCTTGGCTTTTTTTTTATTACTGTCCACTGACTTTACCTCTACTCAACTATTTTTTTACTTTAATCATCTTCTGTACTAAAAAAATATTTCTGCCAATCTTCCTCTACAGTATTTGGTTCTCTTTGAACTTCTTAATAATACTTCTCACTCCAATTCTTGACACTTGAAAACACTTTCATAACTTCTCTTACTTTGTGACAGTCAACAATTCTTTTTCTCAAGTCTAAACTAATTTCTTTTGACATGATGCTTTCACAAATGACTTCTCAAACCCTTACTTAAGTTGTTATACTGTGTGTATATTGGAAGGTAGATGTCAGTGTTAAATTCAATTCACAAGCATTAATAAGTTAAAGCACATTACTACGCTCAAGTAGTTTGTGTTATGGCTTAACAAAAAAATTCTCTTATTGTGTACAAATGAAAAGAAATTTATTCTTTTTAAGGAGTCTATGTCTAGCAATGCTGTGTTAAAATTCATTGCTTTTTTAAAAAGAACTTGGGAAGATTTTTTAAAAGAATTCAATTTTAATTGTGGGTGGGTACTAATAAATTTATCCTCAATTGTAGATTTAATGTATTAATTATTATGCACATGGTTTTATTGAAAGTAAGGATAAATGTGTTTTAACAGTCATCCCAGATTAATGTAAGTGTTACTAACAGAATACAATTGTTATATATAAAATAATTTATTTCTCTTCTCCTCTTATATACATATCTAATTGTCTCTTTATAGAGAAATACAAATGTGTAAGTGAAATAGGTTTTTTAATGAAAGTATAGATTATGTTATGGATTATGGACTTGTAAAATCTGGAAATAAATTCTATGCAAGTGAATATTTCTGAGCAGAAATAATAGTTTTTTTTTGTTTTTTTTTAATTGAAGAGAGATGGAAACATTGAGTAAACTAATGAATGAATTTGGATGAATGGATAACAGACTGAAGACAAAGACTGAATATCTGATTTGTTTTTTATGGTCTATCATGTTATTTAATTATGTTATTTTATTGCATATTATTTAATTCCAGAAAAATATTTTTACATTTTAAGAATTTTGACTGGAGATAATAATGATTTAGTGATACAAGTCTTACTAATTAACCCATTAAGCTGGGGGAAGAAGAAGTGTATTTATAATTTTCCCAATGGCATTTGCGCATGTATAACAATAATGAACCAAACTGGAATTGGCTCTCCAATTTCCAATTCTAAGCCACTATCCATTACACCACCTGCACATCCAAGATTACAGCACCTGGTATTCCCAAGTAGTCACCCATCTAGGTATTGACTAGTCTTGACATTGCTTACCTTCAGTGATCATATGAGAACTGGTATTTCAATGTGATATGGCTGTAAGATTGAGGATAAAGAACAATACAGTCATTGCTTTGAGAGAGAAAGGACAGGAAATTGTGGAGAGCCATGATTGCCTGTGTCATGAAGGGACATTGCACATAAAAAAAGAAGAAGCATTAAATTTTGATAAAAGATGCTCCAATCAGTCCTCTGTGTGTGTGTGTGTGTGTGTGTGTGTATGAGAGTACATATATGTGTACACATGTTTGTGAGTGTGCATACACCAAACAAGCATTTGACTATCTTGATGTAACCAGTTCCTTTGCCTTCACCCCCACCCCTCATCTATAAGTTCTGAAAGAAAAATAATTGTTGTTTCTATTGTTTTTAAGAGAACAGACAGAAAATGTTAACCTTAATAGTTGTCAACAATTCCAAAAGTGAAATGAATAAGTGCATTCAGTTTTAAGGAAACTTTGATGGACAGAAATATATAAGCAAATAAAAACCATTATTGTAAATATTATCTACTATAATCAATTGATATTTACTTAACAGTATTTGGGTACCCAATGAGAATTGAACACCCTAAACTAATTAATTGGTCTGCTAAGCATCATGGTGTATGTCATAATTTGTTTTGTTTAATTCTCTCTAGTAACTTGAGAATGTATGGAACACAATTATATAAACCTTCACTTGGATGTCTTAATAAACTTTAGTACGGGGTGGTCCGAAAGTCTTGTCACCCCATACATAATATAATATTCTATTTCAGATAGCTGACATAACCTACTATAGTTTGGAAGAGAGGCTGCTTGCAAGTGTATGGACATACAATTGTGTGCATTCTGGCAAGAGTATAACTTTGTATTACTGTATTATTTGTTCTATTGTTGTCATTACTTTTTGGTAGGGGTGATACAACTTTCGGACCACCCTGTGTATTGCACCATTTTCTGTAGTAATATAACAAATGCTTTAAAATTGATTAGGGAAAGGACATTTATAAAGATATTTCTTTTTCTTTAATGTTATATTCCTTTAGGGTGGAGGTCATCTTCCCACAGATTTCTTATCTTTATTACCTGTGAATTGTCATGACTTCTTGGGAAGGATAATGAAATGGTTTCCTGTTGTCTTCTTCATAGTTTGGAATTCAAAGTTTTCCTTCTCTTAGATTGGTTGCCATCTAGACATCCCAATCTATCTTACTATTTAATTCTTAGTTGGTGGAGAGAAGAGAGAGATTCTCATGCCTGTTTCCAAATGCCTTTGTGTGAAAGTGAATGAAATAGACTAGCCCAGAATTTTAACTCTGTTTGTCAATTCCACATTCCCATATCTGTTACACTAGATCTACAAACTGACAGAATGAACTGTTTCTAAATATCCATTTGTTTAAAATTAAATCTAATGATAACAATTGACCATAGAGGAAGACATGCTACTGAATCAGCCTCAACAACATGGCACTTTCTATACAATAGTGACAAGCTTCACAATAAAAATGATGAAGTGCAGTCAGTTTCAAGGAAAGTTTGATGGATAGAAATAAGCAAACAAATGATAGAAAATAGATTGAGATATGGACACATCTTAAAATCTAAAGTGTCTGAATGTGTGAAGGTGGGGTGGTATCTTTGTGATTGTTCAAGGTAAGTATACTACTGCTACTTTTAAAACATTTCACATGAAACTGACAGTCACATCAGGTCATGTGTCTTGTAAACCATGAGGGTCATAGCGCACCACATGTACTGCAGCCATAGCAGCAGTGGTGTATCTAGGTCAAGATAACTTGATGAAGCCCACCCCTCTTCAGTCTGGTTTTGAATTCAAATTTTCCTTCTCTTAGACTGGTTGCCACCTAAGAGCAAGAGAGCCTAATAAGCTGTGCTATTTAACCTATAGCTAAGGGGGAAAATGTATGGATTCATTCCTTTCCCAAGGGTATTAGTGTGAAAGTGAACATACTGAACACAGTTGGAATTCAAACTCCATTTAGATGATTTCCATTTCTGAGTTGCTGACCATTAAGTAACAGAAACATTTAATTTTATATTTTGTGAAGATACAGTTTTTATTAATGCTTAATAATTTCATCATCATCATCATCATCATCATCATCATCATCATCATCATCATCAGTCCTATAACCAGGTGTAGTCATAGGGTTGCTGCTTCCTCCCTGTGTCTCAGTTGAATGACAATATCTGGATGTCTGCAAAGGATTTTCAAGTTCACTCTAATATTGCCAGTCCCTTTTATTTATCTCTGCCTGTTTCTTATTGACTTTTATTTTCCTCTTCTTAACAGAGGCTATGAGGTCTTCCAACAACTTCTTTCTTATTTAATGGTGTCTCACACTCTATCATTTTTGATGTGGTCTGTAAAGGAGATGCTTATGATGGTTATATGATTATAAAAAATGTAAATTACTCAAGCCCTGAGGCAGTCTTTGAGAGAATCTGTAAATTTTAATGCCTCCAAAACAAAACTACTTTCATTTAATCACCACAAAGAACCTTTTCTGCCTGCCATCAGCATGGCAGATGATAAACTCCAGGAGCAACATTTTATGACATCTTGGACTCATGGTTTCCACTGCCATGAAATGGCATGATTATATTAAATCAATTGCTACATCTACTGCTAGGAAAATTGGTTCACTGTGTTATACAAGAAAATATTTGTCAAAAGAATCCATCTTGCATGTTTATAAATCTACCATTTGTCTGTGCATTTAATACTGCTGCCATATGGTCTGGTGCTCATATCTTGAGATTTTTGATTATTTTTTAAAGAATATTTTTGCAATGTAAATCAATCCTGATCTGGCATTTCAACTTCAGTCACATTCTAACTGACATGATGTGTCTTCTCTCTGTCTTTTTTACAAATATTTTCATGGCAATTGTTCTGATGAGCTTTTTTTCCCCAGTGCCCCAACTGCATGAATTTAAGCATGTTACTAGATTGGCAACTAGGTCTCACCGTTTTACTGTTAAACTAGCTAGATGCACTGCCACTTCTATTCTAACAGTTTCTTTTCTCATACTTCTCACCTGTGGAACTCCCTTCTGATTTCCTGATTTCCTGATAATTACATTCTTCAAAAATTTAAATGCAAAATCAATCATCATCATCTTGAACACTGTTCTTTTATTGTCCTTTTCTCACTTCTCCTCACTAAAATCTTTTCATTCTCTTTCACTCTCTGTAACTGCCATGTCTTAGTGGCATTGATAACCTTGCTTAGGGGTGAAATGAATAAAAAAAAAAATAAAAAGAGGAAATATTTATGAAGTAATTTTGTTAATTCTGTCATGAACATATATAGACATAGAAATTCCTAAATTAACAATAATTTTTTTGACAATTTGTAAAAAAATATAAAATTTTTTACGATGGTTAGTTGTCTATTTAAATCAGGGAGAAAAGCAAGCATATATTTATTGTCCTTTCATATAATATCACTTTGTAGAAAAAGAAACAGACTTTCTGTTTTAATATTTAATAATGTCCACAGCTTAAACAAGATATAAAAATTGGATAATTTGTCAGATTTAAAAAATAATGAGAAATAGTTCAATGGATGCGGTCAGTATGAAAAGAATTCTGATCACCCAAATCCAAAGAATACAATTATTCTAAACAAAAGACATTTTCTTTTCTGTTAGATTCTGCTTTCAGCAATTTCATATCACCATTGTATTTGCCTTTGGCATGCAATTCAATTAATCTCTGAAAAGGATTGTAAAAAGCAATGCCTCTTTTTATGGAAAAGTCAGCAAAATCTTCTTTTAATTCACTACATGTTGGTAATTCTTAAGTCAGTATTTGTTTGGTTTTTACTTTAATCATTCTACTTGTGCATTCAAATATCGATGCCACTGTCCTCTTCTCAGGCTGGCCTTAAAATCCAAACAGATTAACAATGAAAAAGATTCAGCATATGACGTAATATGTTACATTTTAATCTAGCTTAAGATTAATCCACTTTGAAGTGTTGAATTGTTTGACTTGATTTCAAAAGTTACATTCCTCCTTTAACATAAATGACAATAATCTCAAAACCATATTCAAATAAAGTCTTTTCATTTGAATTGGACAGAAAAACAGAAATCAGTTTGAAAAATGAACAAAACCAACATATCTGCACCTGACAAAATTCAACTGAACAACAGATTGCTAAAAAAATATACCAACAAAGATAAGAATGATTAAAAGGAAAGCATCTAAAATATCATATATGTATAATTCGAATTATATATCTGTATTTATATAATGTTACTTCAATAAAATTTACCACACATTCATTCCTTATTTTAGGACAAGAAATTGATTTAAATTCTCATTTGTTATAACTTAATGTAAATATCTGTTTGAATTTCTGGAACATGAAACACATGAGCAACAAGGAAGTTTTAAAGAAAATTAAAAAAAAAGATATTTTCAAAAAGTAAGGTACAGAAAAACATAAATTAATTGAAATTAAAACATTGTTAAAACAACAGAAGCTATACAATAATATGTTTTGTAACAGCCAGCTCAACTTTTATAGTAAACACATGCATATGTGATATCGCAACAAAAGATAACAGTCATCATAAAATAGTGGACAAATATAAAATTAAAAGGTGTAATAAGATTTGGGTCAGAAAACTAATGTGTAGAGAACACCAAGTTCCAATGCATAGGAATTTCTTTTCAGCTTTTGGAACAGGATAGGAGAAATAATGGAGACTTTTTGGATTATATGACTATGGCTAATGAGATCTGGATGTAGAATATTACACCAGAGACAAAAGTTGTGAGTTCAATCCATGACCCCTGGACTGAGTAGTATAGACACAGAAACAGTGGAAAAAGTATTGTTGAGTAATAATGAAAAGAACAAAATGAGATTTATCAAATCATGAAATGAAAGTTGTACCGAATAGCCACTCTCCTAGATTCATCTGTATTCATGCAAGTGTTCCCCAGGGCTCTATCCATGGTCTCAATTTTTTTTTAATTTTCATTAACAACCTTCCTGACAACATCAGATCTCAAC